AGGGGAGGTTTTGGGTGTGCTTTGTTTCAGGGTTCAGGGTGTTTGGCGCTGGGGATTTGGGGTCGGAGCTTTTGGGGCTGGCTATAGTTGTATGGGGTTTGGGTCTATAGTCGTATGGGGTTTGGGTCTTGGGCATTGGGTTTTTTTTATGTATTGATCTACTCATTCTGATTGTATTGCTGATTTTGAGGCGAGATGGGATGTTGAGGTCCAGGTCTGTCGGTGTTTGGGGGGGGCATCGTTTTGGGGCTTTCAGGGTCTCAAGTTTCGTGGTTGTGGTTTTGGAATTGAGCCTAGGCACTGAAATACTTGGAATTGAGCCTAAGCCACTGAAATACTGAGGTCCAGGTCTGGGGCTAGGTCTGGAATGCAAAGCATGGTGTCTAATCAAGAAAGCAGCCAAAGGCCCTAGCCCGCTACACTGCACCCTGAATCTCCACCCTGAAGCCCGAAGCTGTCCTAAATAGCGCGGCTTCCAGCCTCAACCTAAGGCCATCAACCCCTCATAGAACATGCTTCCTAGTCCCAATGCCCAATCTGCATCCCCTAAGTCCTGTTTCAGGGTTTCGGGTTTGTTCATCACATACTATAAACTCTATACCTTACTTAAACGTTCGTTTGGGTGCCAGGCCCACTATCTCGCATCCAAGTACGGCGTGCACGTGCCTTGGCCTGCGCGCATGAGCCGACTGAGGGGGATGCCAAGGGTTTAGGGGTTTAGGGTTTAGGGTGACTCAGCAAGAATTTTCGCACTGCGTCTACAAGTAGGAAAGCCTCATCCTGAACTACCCACACTCCCTGCAGCATAACACATACTGAAACTGTTTGTCTTGAGTCATATACGACAGGGATGCTTGTTGCTGGTTTAGTTTAGCTCCTTTATGAGGTCTGTGCAGGATATAGCAAGCAGAGTATCTTACTGCGCCAGTTTTCGGTCTTGTGTTTCGGATGAACAGGTCTGTATTTGCAGAGTCTTGATGCTCCCGTTCTTGTACCCAGAGAGGCATCGCTTTATAAACCTTAAATTGTGGCCCTAAGCCCTATTATAAGCCTTATAGTCCCGCCAGACTTTAAAGGGGCTGAATCCTAAACTGTAATATAGGGGCCTAAATAATTACCAATACTATTATGGTGGTTCCTTATTATAACTATAGTAGAATATGCCCCAAAACCCTATTCTAATTATTGAGGCCTCTACATTAGACACATTGGAGCCTGTTAATCATGTCACAAGGTCACCGGCGTGACGCTATCGCGGGAGCAGATGGCCTGGGCCACTTCCTTGGCAAGACAAGAACCCCCCCAAGCCTATATCGATATTAAGATATACCAAATGTATAGAATATTACTATGTGGGTACATGATGTACGGTACATGTACATTTGTGTATTTTGCGTGTCTATCTCTAGATATATATAATCTGTCTTGGGCTCCGCCATTCATTTGACAAGACCTAAACCCTAAACCCAGGTAAGGTTTGGGGCTCACGCGCTCTAGGGCAAAAGGGCAGTTCAAGGTTCGCGCTAAGCATTCCAGGTTCCACGTGCTCAACCTCTCACAAGTGTTATTCCCATAGTATGCTCGGTCAGCAACCGTTAAATGAACAGTGTTGGTGGTATATAGCCGATATTCATACGTGTAACTACAGCCGTATACTGTAGAAACACAATTATTTGCCTGTAATCAATCGCCCTGCAAATTGAAAGCTTAAGCTGTTGTTGGCCGTTCAAGAGGGTCAACTGCTCGCCAATATAGGGGCCTTTACAAAAATAACACTAAGGATCCAATGCGCCTGATAATCATATACTCTCCGAACACTAACTTACATAATTACTATGACAAAACCGATTACCTAGTTCTTGGGTCCTTTGGACCCTTAAGGTTGGATCCCTAATGTGGCGGCTCCTTTAAACCAGTGGGTGTCTATAATGCGTTTTTTTGCTTATCCAAGCCGGTTGCAATATGTTTTGGGGGAGTCTAAAATGTATTTTTATTATTTTGTTGATTGCCGGCTGATTTGTTTTTTTGTTTGCTTCCTTTCTGCTGATGGGCACCCACAACATTCGTCCATGAAGCCCGACCTAAACCCCCCAAACCCCAAAACCCTGGCCCTGAAGCCGAATCTCTGCCTAAACCCGAAACCTCCCTTAAGCCTAGACCTTAGCCCCACAAACCCCCTGAACCCAAAACCCCACACCCCCTCCCGAAGCCTAAAACCTGAACCCCCCCTGCCTCTAAACCCTAAACCCTAAACCCTACCTCCAAACCTTAAAACCTTGGCCCTGAAGCCCGAAGCTGAACACCTTCCATTCATGGACTGCCACAGACGCCCAAGAATCCCACCACTCCCTAATTTGTGAGCTGCCCCGTCTTAGTTTAATTTAGGTACTACTTTTATGAGTTTGAGCCCAATAAAGCAAACTTCAGGTGTTTGCAGGATCTTGAGTCCACTCTGTGTATTTTCGGATGTGGAGTCCGGTTTTAGGGTGGTTTCAGGCATTTAAACCCGTAAACCCGTAAATGAGCACCCCTAGTACAAGGAGAGTGTAAAAATCCCGAACCCAAAGTGCTCTTAGTACATACATCGTACAAAGCAGGTAAGGTTCAGGGTTTAGGGTTTAGGGTAGTAGGTAGGATCTACTTTTATGGCTTGGGTAGGTCTCCCCCATGTATGTACTTAGCCCTTTGGGGCATGCCTTATACGCCAGCCATCTGCGGGCGCGAGGCAGTGGAACACAACGCTCACCCCAACATCGAGTACCGCTTCCAAGACTACCGCGAGGCGGGAAGTCCAGGGTTCAGGGTTTAGGGTTTAGGGTTTAGGGTTTAGGGTTTACCTGCAGCCCCAAACCCTACATAATTGCAGGCTCTGACCTTGACATTCATATTTATGAGGAATAGCCCTGGAGCCGCTAGGGTTTTTGAATCGACAGATAGGTTTAAGCTTCCGAGATTGCCGCTAGGTTACTGGGAAGTTTGACCGCATCTACTCTGTGGGCATGTTCGCCGCCTGGGAGCAAAAGTTCCCAAATGGGGGGGGGATGGGGGAGGGATTTAGGGACTTAGGGTTTAGGGTTGAGGGGTAGATGTTAAGATCGTGTAACAATGACAAGGGTCTTGCTCAACCTGGGCTCCCAGGATTCACATGGTGATAGTAAATTTAGGGTTTAGGGTTTAGGGTTTAGGGTTTAGGGTTTAGGGTTTAGGGTTTAGGGTTTAGGGTTTAGGGTTTATTCTGTTTCATTGATGGATTTTGATTGTATGAACATGTGTGCCATAACTTGGGATTTTGTGCCGCTGGTCGAGTTCTGTAAGAGTGTGGGAACTTGTTCAACATGCCAGTGCCCGAAATAAACCTATGCTGTTTTGATGGTTTATATCCTCGAGTAGCCTACGAAGTCGCAAAGGTTTGGCTACACGTAGCTCTGAACATTTGCTGCTATAATTTTCACGACTTGAAAAGCTTATAATTATTCCCAGGCAGCCTACATGCAAGCCCTGCGAACGGAAGATTACGAATCCGATATATTTTTGTCAGTGGTTTAGGCTTTGGATTTAAGATTGGTTTTTCGGACTTGCATCGTTTGAATGTCTGCAGAATTCCTTGCCCTAAATACACCTTACACCTTAAATGCATGTCCAGAAACGCCGACCCCTTAAGCCATGGACCGTAAACCTTGACCCCTAAACCCTGAATCGTTCAGAATGTCAGGGTTTAGTGCGCAAAGTTAGTTCAGGATCTCAGGATCTGAGTTTAGGATCTAGTTGTTGGAATGCTTTGCTCTGATCACTTGGTGCTTCGGGTGTAGCATTTAGGGTTTACAGGGCTGTCGCGATTGAGGTCACCGTGTTTGAACTTTCAGTCAAGGCTCCCTTTCTTCACTTTCGCTACATTAAGACGTTCTTACGGGCTTATACAACGCCTTACTTCGCTTCTTCTATCGGGGTACACGCCCCTCCTGCCTAAAACTCATACCCTACACCCCACGCATCCCAAACGCGGAATTCTTGAGCCCCCCCAAAACCGCAAAACCCTGTCAACCTAAAGCCGCAATCCTTGAACCCCCACAAAAACCCAAAGCCCAACACCATAAAGCCCCATATAACCTGAACCCTAAATTCTTGCTCATCCCTATAAACCTTGCCCATAAAATGTACGGTTGAGGGTTAAAGCTTTCCCTGAACCCTGCCTATACACGGCCCCTCAACAGAGGAGCATGTTGGCCGAAATTCCTACGAGACATTCTTTGACAAGTGCTACGAGCTACTCAAGGAAGTTCGGGTTCCATGTTCTCTGTAAGGTTTACGGTAAAAAGGGGTCAGGGGTTGGGCTTCAGGTTCCATTTAATGCTTCGTTCTGGTTGGCTTCAAGCTTCGTACGGCTTCGCTCGCAAGGCTTATATAGGGATTGTGTAAGGAATTTAGTATTCAGGAGGTTCTTTATGCTTGATTTTATATTTCTTGTTTACTTCGGATTATAGTGATACAGCATTCCGGTGTCAACATTGGGTTGGGTGTCTGCTCGTGGTTCGCGGTTTGTTGTTGTGCTATTGTCGCTTAGCCCTAAACCCCTAAACCCTAAACAGGTTTCCACAGATCAGGTTCACCTTGGACAAGTTTCTGACTTGTTAGCTTAGTTTTGAAATAGCTCCGCCGCATTCAGAGAGTCCCCGCTTCCCCTAAACCGTAGAGACAATTCCCTAGAGGGTCCATATATATATATATAGAGAGAGAGAGAGACACACGCACACACTACTATTATGGAATTAGGCCCCCGAAACCATAGCAGGATGGTCTTGTGAGGCCCATTTCCATAATGGTAGTATAAACGGACCCGCTGGGTGAGGGTTTGAGAACGCTTAAAGGAACCCGGCAGGAACGCCAAGAGAGTCGAAAAGGAGCCCACGTCAGCCTCACAGGACGATGGCATTATGCTGATCCACACGATGGGCTGGGCGCGACGGGGGCCATGGAATCACAACGACGCCAAGTCGCAAGAGCTGATGGTTGCAGGTTTAGGGTGTAGGTTGTAGCTCAGGTTTTAGGGTGGTTCGTATTCTGAGTGATTCACTGTTGAATTTGATAGTGGTCACAGGGATGTTGTCGACAGCGTGATAACAATTACACTGGCCAGTGGCGATGGTCATGGAGTGTTATAATTAATATGACAATTCCGTTTCTAGTGTTCTAATATTGCTATTGTGGGCAGTCCTTGTAAGGCCCCGGCTAACTTTACTATTGAGCTATTGAAACCCTGAAGCCTTAAATCCTCAAAGAACCCTTATAGAGCCCTTTAAAAGAACCCTGATCGAGCGTGTAGAAACCCCGTATAGAGCCCTGTGAAGAACCCTGAAGCCTTTAAAATGTCGACACTTGCATAAAGGTTTAGGGTTTAGGGTTAAGGCTCCATTCCCCAACTGCCAACTACCGCCGCCAAAGAAGCATCGACTTGAAGCAAGTAGGACAAGTATACGATAGGCTCCGGTTTAGGGTTTAGGGCTGTCCAGGACCCCCCCCCCTCCGTAATGGTGGATATCTTGGGCAACCCTAAACCCTAAACCCTAAACCCTAAACCCTAAACCCTAAACCCAAGTGGGGCGCGTAATGGTGGATATCTTGGGCGTGTTAGGAGCTAGTTCGGGGTTTAGGGCCGTAAGACCTGTATCAAGAAAGGGACCCTGCCTTGTGAAGCCGAGTTCCCTCTAGTAAGTTACTATCGACGTAACTGCGCTGAGCCGGAGGCTTCTGACTGTAAGAAGTTTAAAAAAAGAAACCCTAAACCCCTAAACCCCTAACCCCTAAACCCTAAACCCTAAACCCCTAACCCTGAATCCCTAAACCCTGAACCCTAGAAACCCTAAACCCTGAACCCTAAACACCCTAAACCCTGAACCCTAAAAGCCCTATAAACCCCAAAAAGGAAGCCCTGAGTCCTCTGAAGCCCCAAATCCGTGCATTTCATTTAGGATTTAGGGTTTGGGGGTTAGGGGTGTAGGGTTTAGGGGTTTAGGGTTTAGGGTTTAGGGTTTAGGGATTTAGGGGTTGGGGGTTTGGGGTGTAGGGTTTAGGGGTTTAGGGTTTAGGGTTGTTCATTTCTCCGAGGCCTTCGTCAACAAGTACATCTTCCCGGGGGGGGAGCTGCTTCGAAGCATGAGGTTCATATGGGGTTTTAGAGTTTAAGTGGATTCGGGGTTTAGGGGTTGGGGTTTAGGGGTTTAGGGTTTGGCGGATAATAACGGATATATACCTTTGCTTTTGAGATAGTGGTGGGCTTCACCAGTAACCCCCCCGCCGCAACCGTTAGAGAGGTCTCATACCCCTCACTCAGGTAATTAGGGGCTGAAAGAGGGGCGGTCATGACAGGGTTGGTGGCTTTGGGTTCTAGGCACTAGTTAGTTATAAGCACTAGTTAGTTATAAGGACCCATACCTTAAAAACCCCAAACCCACTTTTTTGCAGGTTCTTACTATAAACCCTAATATGGGATTTATAGGGACCCTACAAAAAAGTAGGTTTTGGGTTCTTAAGGTAGGGTGGTAAGGAGCCTTAGTACCCAAGGATCCAATAAGGCCTGTTGAGGGAAGTATAGTCCGCTACCCCCTCCGCCTAAAAAATAGGGGAAAGGGGGTTCCTAGGGTTACTGCCATACCCCCTATATAGCCCCCTATGTCGTTTTATCAAGTTAGCTTTCTGTGTCATTATCACGTGTTGTTGTCGTCTTACTCGTTATGCTTATGTAGTTTTAGGGCTGTCGTTTGAACTAGTCTTCCCCCCCATTATTTTATGATGGATTATGTCATAGGCTTAGGTTTAAGTTTGAACTATGCACCTTCCCCATTATTTTATGCTATTTTATGTCATAAGCTTTGGCATAAGTTTGCTACCGCATTCGGTTTATGTCTGGGTCTAGGTATAGTATTCTGTATAGTTTTATGTGTAGGTTTCTGTGATGGCTTTGTCTTCTTCGTCTTCAACGTCTCCAAGGTGCGCATGACGAGCTTAACCATTCGCACTTGAATTCTTCGGGTTGTCTGCATGCCGGTCTGTGTCAGCACAAGAGCTTCAATTCATTCTTATTTCCACAGCTCTTCCCGTGTTCAAGGCATTCAGTCTTAAATTCGCAAGCGTTGTTCGCGATGTCGGACAACTTGAATGATGAAAAGATTGCCACGGAGTTGCAGAGTCATCTTTATGAAGAAGATGAAGAGGAAGAACAAGAAGTCACAAGCAGTGAAAGCGTCGCCAGTTCAGTCAGTCGGTTCTCAATCCCAGACATTGAGAGCTTGATTGAAAACAAGGATGTCCAGAGCATCAATCAAGCATTGACAAAGATGGAGTTGCTGAACTTACGCATTGAGCAGGGCATGAAGAATGTCACGAAAGGCAAGAAGCAGAACATCATCATCGGCATTGACTTGGGAGATAAAGGCGAAATCATCAAGGTTACGGCCTCAACGACGAGCACATACAAGGACATTAGACGCAGGGCATGGGCTCAGCCCATGAGTCTGAAACCCTCTAACATGAAGTTCGGCACCGAAGCCTAAAGAAAGAAATAGATGCGCTTTTAAACCACGTTTATCACATCAACCGAAGAGGCAACGACGTGAACCGGCAGCGAGCGTCCCAGGATTTGAGTAGGCACATGTAAACCATCGCACCGTATTCCTGCTCGAACTAAGGCTATGATGGAGTCCGGTTTCCGAAACACAACCTGGACCCAGAATGGCCTTGAGCACAGCAACCCAATCCTTACAGTGCCAGAAATCGAAACCCAGGATGCCGACCATGTCGCACATGACCATGGAGTACTCGGACCGCTCCCTGCCAGCACCTCATGAAACGTTGGATAAATTAAATGCCTAGGATGGTTTTAATTAGGCTCACTGGCGCTCGTCTCCATAGCCTCCTGCACAGGAAGTTATGATACAAGTTTGCATGGCTTTTGCACAGGAATCTTCAACTCATCATCCACCAGTGGTTACTGTTTGGCTCCACATCCTCACCTAGTTTGCCCGCAGGTGTTGGTTGCTCTTGCCATGCAGCTTAATGGAACATTTAAACATAGTTTCTTCTGCTCTCTGGCAAATAAACGTCGGGGAACGAAAATCTGCTGAATCTTACAGCTAAAACTCTAATCTCCGACCAATTGAGCACACGTCTTTAAGCATTTTGCTCCCACGCGATAATTCACGTCTTGAGTCCGGATGCCTGACCCGTCTGTGGCTTACTGTTACTGATGCAACTTCTACGACGACGACTTCTATTTCTACGGCGACCATTTTGGCTACGGTTCGGTTACGACTACGACTACTCGGAAAAGCTCCGCAAGATTCGCACTATCAACACCCTTTTTGTATGATATTTGTCTCCTACGAGTGGTTCTGTGTATATACATGCTACATAGACATGATACATACATAAATACATACATGCATGCATGCATGCATGCATGCATGCATGCATGCATACATTATGCTTGTTGTATATATGCGTATATACAACATGTATATATATATATATACAAATTCACTCTATATATATATATGTATATATATATATATGTACCTGTATGTACATCATGTATAAGCCTGTATCTTTGGAGTTGATACTCTACGGATCTTTACCGTATAAGATTCTTAGCATGGTGGCGGCAAAAGTGAACATAAGTGAGTTCCTCGCGACAAGACCAGGATGGCACATGGAGGATTGGCAAAGCTTTGGGAAGTGTCACGGCCGTTTTTAGTATTTTTTAGTAGTGCCCAGTTGGTTGGTGCGGGGTGAGAGTTCATGATTATGGGGGCGCTGTGAGGATAAGGTTTGGGCTTCGGTGTGTTTGTGGCTAGTGCGCAGGTATTTCGTCATCTAAGGGATTCTATTGGTGCACGTATGGGGTCGGTCCGGTAAGTTGACCGTGTTGCAGGGGTTCAGAAGTCAGCCAAGGAGCTACGTGATGACTTTGAGGTGCTGGTTGGAAAGAATCCGAGATTGGAAGGCCGCAACAATAAGGATTGGGTTGGGGCTGTTTGCCCTAAACCGTAACCCCGCAAAGTTGCAAAGCCTCACATCTTACACGAAAGCAGTTCACCTCAACCCTAAACCCTAAACCCCAAAACCCAAAGGGATGATAATTAGTGTGGCATATGAAAACGAGAAAGCCAGGATCGGTTGCATCCCAATCTCAGCCGAGTTGCTGGCTTTCTTGAAGAAGCATGGAGCGTTCGTGAACCCTAAACCCTAAACCC